CTTATGGCTGGCTATTAGTCTCCGACAGCTGTGAATTAAAGCTTTCAATTCGATTCAGTGGGGAGACTTTGATCCATTTGTTTTTAAAACTCAATAAATGGCGGGGAATGGATTAAGGATTGCACAAAAAACTTTCTGGTTTCACTTGCTCTTCCGGATATGTCAATTTCGTGTTTTGCAAAAGCCGAGCAGGTGGCATTTTAATTGATATTGGATATTTTTATATTTGATACAGCAGTTTTTTAGGGATAAAAACTGGTGAAAAGAAGTCATATTTCATATTAAACATAATTTTAACCAATATTTTTTTGAAGTTTTAAGTATGAAATTCAGGGTTCTTAATATAAAAGCCTCTCAATCAATATTTATGACGAATCTCTGATGCTGTACATAGGAAAAAAAATCAAAGAAAAATTCTTGTTTATTTAGGCAACGAAACGAAAAATTCATAAATGATGGTTTACACGGCGTATACGTAATATTGCAAATATGCGACATTCAAATTGATATATAAATCAAGTGAAAAGCTTGTTTTGTTTAACAATCTGCTGTACAGAAAGGTGGGTGACAGAGGCGGCACATCGTAATGGATAGGCCAGTCATTCAATTTGAAAATTGTCACTGAAGCCAGGACATCGTGACAGTTGTGAGGGTCAGAAAGGGTACAGGAATCAAGCGCTATAAATAACAGAATAGAGTGGGGTGTGTGCTCTGCATGTAATCTATGGTATATCCAATTTTCCAGATGCCAGATGTCGGAGGATATGTAGTTGGGAGTCAGAGGAATCCTTCTAGCCAATTACGGGAATTGCACTTTCATAACCGAAAACAATAAATAAGAAAACGATGAAAAGGAGACCGAAGAAAGGAAGTCCGGGCAATGGAGACCCGTGAAAATGAAAACCGGACAAACAAGCACAAGTTTCCAAATAAAATAACCTGCGTCATATGTTTTTCTTTAGTGCTGTGCTCCTGCTTTTGTTTTTTTCATGGAATTCAGGAAAAAGCAGACCCATAAAAAGATCACAACAACTGCAGCTAGTGTGTGCGCTTTGCCTTTCCACAAAAAAACGAAAAAACTCTCATACACAAATATATGCACATACATTTTCCCCGCTTGGAATATCGCTTTAAAAGGCTTTCTTAATGTTTATTCAGTTGGTGACGTCACAGCAATGGACAAACCAGGCAATTGTTCGATCCCCAACGAACTATGTAAATATTTACACAGCTAATAGAAGCCACTTTTTACGCTCCTTGTGCGTAAATAATAATCAAGAAATAATAATAATAATAATAAATAATAATGGGCTTTTGAGGCCCGGCGCTGTAATTAACCAGCTGGAAGTCGGCGTGCGGAAAGAAAGATTTCAGACTCAAACCACACAAAAAATATATATACAAAAATAATAAATAAATAAATAAGTGAAAGGACAACAAGCGAAAATTATGCTGATTGCCGTGGTATCTCCACCACCTCTTCTTGGGCCCTCTGGGGTCTGTTTGCTTGGCCAAAATACATATTTGACAGGCCCTGTGGGGTCTCAAGAACCGCAGGAACTTTTCCACAAAAAAGTCTCGTAATTAGAATAATTATTACCGCTAGGCGTGAATGTTTTTTAATGGCACTTTCGGTTTTGTGACATTGTTCAAAGATAATTACGGCCAATACCTGTGGGCGAAATTCCGCATTGGCAGCTCGACAGCTGGAAAATTTCGCGAAGGGAGTGCTGCGTCCTCAGACTTAAGTGCGGAAATTTAACAGCACTTAGCTGACGGAAATGTCAGAGTGGAAAGGTGTGGCAGGAAAACTGAGGAGCATAGGGTTGATTTTAATTAAGAGTAGGGTTCTGGTATTTTTGTTTCAGCTTTTGTATTTTAAAGCCAAGTTGATTTCTTAATTTAAAAGTCTTAAGAGGAGGAAATGTTTTGATTTTAATGAGGAGAAGCGAGTAGTTTTCTCAGATTAATATGTACTATTTCAGAAAGCAGAAAATGAAACATATATTTTAAATAATCTTCAGAACTTTGGAATAAATAATAAAAGCTCAGTTTAAAAATATTATTTTCCTTTGAAACCTGAAAATAATTAAATTGTCTAGATTTTAATTAGGAAAACCTTTAAATAAATTCTCAAAAATAAACATAATTTTCTAAATAATCTTCGAAATTTTCAATAATATCAAAAGCACTGTTGTAAATAATTATTTTTCTTTGAATCTTAGGAATAATTTAAGCCTTTAAGAGCTTGTATTTATATTGGCACCACGAATAAGGCTTACATCTTTATTTTCATTCTGCACAATCGAATAATCTTGATCATCAAAATTCTAGGCTAAAAGAATTCCTGTGAAACCTTTGTTTTTCAGAAATTCTCTTAAATACTTCTATTTTTGTTGGCAGTTGAAGGATTGCGTCATAAGTTTCATTAAAAATTCCAAATCCCACACAATTTGAATTGCAAATATCCGCCATCAATCTTGCTGTTGCTGCTGAATAGTGTGAAATTAATTTAAATTAATCGCAATCATTGCTCATCTTTGCGTCTGTCAAGTGACGTAGCCAGTGTGTTTGTGTTTGTGTTTGTCTTCCGCTTAATCACCCATCCTTTTTGGCCCAAAATGGCCGTCTATTTATAACTGTAATGCCACTTCCTTCCCAATGCCATTAAATGCCTGGCGTGGCGAAGTGCAAACAAGGCCTTCGCCTTCATTCTTAGACCATTTTGGGGTCTGACAAGCGTATTTATTTTGATAATTCTTTGGTTTTGATAGTCGGTATTTATTTATGCTACCCGAACGCGTGCACAATGCCCGGCTCCGTTCCGTTTCGTTCGAATCAAGAGGAACGCAAACAAAAACATCAGTGTCGTAAAACAATACATGAACGGGCGAAATTAGTTGTTTTAATGATTCGAACATGCAATTCTATGGTTCGCTGGCGAATATATTGTTGAACCAAGAATGTAATTAGCAATTAGGCAGCTCTATTCGGCTGTAGAGAGGACAGACTGGTTCGAGCAAGTGAGAATTGGTATGTCATCCAATTAACAAATTGTGGCACTTGGCAGCCGACGGCTTTGATTGTCCGAAACATTGTCAGAGGAGGCATCATCTTCAAGGGAAGCCAACGGAAAGGGTCTATATAATAAATATTTAGATATTCTGCATTATCTTGACCATCTGCCTTTTGTGATTGAGGGGAACGCAAAAGGTTGGTTCGACTTTTTGAAGGTGGCAATATTGTTTAAAAATAGCTAGATTATTTTCTTAGATATCATTATTTGAATTCTTCATAATTTCAAGAAGAGAATTTTTGACAATTATCTGTTTTAAATGATTCAATCTTGATTTATGCAACATATGTGTGTGCAATGAAGAATTATGAGGGTTCTAAATTAAGAACAATTTTCAGGCTATAAATTTTGCAAATGAAAATGTATGTTTTTAAAGGTTTCTAATTATTATTGATTCCCTTTTTTAAAGCATTTTAATTGTTGATTAAAAATCTAAAAAAAAAAACACAAATTATCTGGAAGTTCTTGACTTAACATTTTGACTTTAAATAAGTTTTTAAACACTTTATTACGCAAATTTTAAATTGTTTAATACTTTAAAAAAAGAAACCTAGTAAGAACACCCCCTTTCGTTCAAGTTTTATATCACATAAATTTCCCAGAGATTATACGAAGGGCATTCGGGGCTTCGCATGTCCTTGTTTTGTCATAATTTTCAATTTGCTTTATTATAATATTGTTGCATACGTCCCGGCGATGGTGAAGGCGACGCCATCGGCGGCGAATGCATGAGATTTCCACGGAGGGAGATTTATGAATGAGCATAAATTAGGGGAGACTCGTAAATGTGTTGGCACGCAGCCCTAGATGCCAATGCCAGTGTCTGGTGGCCATTACCATGGCATTGCAGTCCCATTCCCATGCCCGAGTCCCATTCCGAGTCCCTCTCTCCTGTTCATTATTTCCCCGCATCGTGCTTAATTTTGCGTATGAATAAGCAAAGTCAAGGACACACAACGTCGTCGACGACGACGACGACGCCATTTCAGTGTCAACTCCTGCGGCTGCCATTGGGCATATAAATGAGGAAGGGTCCGGGCCCAGTTTGCAATCTTGGCCCACTTGAACCTCTTAATTGAAAGCGGCTGCTTCGGAAAAATTATCACAAAAAGGTTTACACCCCGGGAAAAAGTGCTGCTATTTGACACGCTCCGAGCCGTCAGCGGGTTGAATATAAATGCCAAAACATTTTTTCGCCGCTGCTCTTTTTCCGTGCCCAAACCAATTTTCCACCTCTCTGGAAAGCCCTCGCAAATTGGGGATTTTTTTTTCCTAGTTTGAAAATCTGTGATGAGTTTTGTCATTGGGTGTATGGATTTTGTCAGCTTATGCTAGTTTAGGCCAGCTGTTACCATAAATTATAAAATTTGTATAATATGATTGGAAATTTGATTGCCATGTTGGTTGGTTTTTCTGGTAAATTTGAAAATATTAGTCAATAAAAGTTCCTGTTAGTCCGAGGGAATGCTAGGCATTATGTAATCGCGGTTATTTTTAAGTATAGTTTAGTTTTGAAATAAAGTTAATGTAAACTAAATTTTGGGTAATTAATATTCAACAGAGTAATAAAAACAAACTCTAATGGAATTTTACAATAAATAAATAAAATAAAAATATAAAATCTATAAATTTCTTATTATATATGATGTTATAGATAATTGAAAAAGGTAAAAGTCTGAAAATTAAAAAAAATAGTCTTAAACTCTTTTTAAAAGTTGAAAATATTGGATTTATAAAACAAGAAAATGCACTTTTGAAACTTCAAATAAATATCCTTTCAATGGAAATTAATAGTCTTCCAAAATATTTGTTATTCACACATTCCATTGATTTGAAAAATCTCTTTTTAAAATCCTTAAAAACCCTCAAAAATATCCAAATTTAGAAAAATTAAGTTTTAAATACAATTCTATCGCATATTTACATTTTCAATGGCTGGATTTTGGAATTTGTGATTTTCCAAAAAACCCTAATATTCACTTTGGTGGACCGTTTTGTCAAGGTGGTTTTTTTTCTCGAATTTTCAAAAACTTTCTGAGAACGCACGCGACGATTTTCGACTGGAGGATAATACACGGAAGATTTCTTTTTTGGAGAACCGTTAGCGCCTAGAATCCTTTGCAGACTGCTTCGACTGCGGCCAGGTCTTTTGGTTTTATCAAAACGGAAAACTCAACACACGGCGGCAGGCATTGGGAAAATGAGAGAAAATGGCCAGAGCGAGAACGCGAGAGCGATTTTTACCCGGGGCCAATGCGAGCGTAGGCGCTGGATGTTGCTGCCACACTTGCAACATGCTGCTGGCAACAAACTGTTGAATTTTGTTTTTTGTTTTGCTTTTCTCTCGGTTTTTGTCCGCCTGCCTGTCTGTGTGTTTTTCCTGGGCCTTTCCTGCGTGTGGTTTCCCAGATTCTTGTTTTTTCATGGCTAAAGCTGAATTTTTTTGTCTGAATTTTGCTTTGTCTTTGTGATGTGGAAAATTCTTAGAAAATTCGATTCTTGCTTTTTTTTCTGCCAGCAGCTATCTCTATGTGTGTGTGTGTGTGCAGGGAATCATAAATATACATATGGAAATGATTTCCGGCTATGCTGAAATTGTTGTATTTTCCCAGCCACCTTGTGGGTGGTTGGGTGTTAGGCGGCTCTATCGGGTCTCTCTAATTGTAGTTCCCCCAGGGCCTTTTGACTTTCAATGTTTTATCTGCATGCCATATTATAATTCACTAGAAACGAGCTTCCTTGGGCCGCCCTTCGGGGCTTTTCCTTTGCATAGGTGGGTGGTTATAGGTGTGGGTTATCCTCCTGCTCTACTGTGTGTGTGTGATGTCAAGTGTTACTCATGCATGGCCGCCGAGCTTTTCCCCGTTTTCCCTGGCCTTCTCCTACGCTACTTTTCCCGCCTTCCATTCGCTCGCGTGCGGCTCATTCATTATTCATTTTTTTTTTTTTTTTTCACTTTTACTTTTGTGCCTTTTCTTCGTGTCCTATTATACACATGTATGTTTTGTGCGGGCTACAATTGTGCAAGGATTTATGCCTAAACCTTTAAAGTTAATTGTTATGACTTTCGGGCGCCAAGGGGAAAAGGTTTTCCATTTTTTTTCGTGTTGTGTTTGTTCTTTTTGGTCAGTGAAAACTAAAAGTGTTTATTAATCATACGCCCCATGTGCGCCATTGTTTCTGTGCTTCCGTCTCTAATCTTTGGGTCGCATCAAAGGGACAGGGACACGACTCGGTCCATTATGCAATTGCTACTTAGTCCCAAGAGGGTAGGGGAGAAGAAGGAAGAGCTTCCAGCCTAATTTGAAAGTCAAAACTCAAGGTGAAGTTTAAAGCGGGCAGAGATTTTATTCGGAATGTGTGTGTGGAATGATAGGAATTTAAAGTTGGTTTAGAGATTTGTTTAGTTTTCACTTGTTGAGTGCCTGAAAGAGTTAAGTAGAACTAAATTTAAAAAAATGCAGAACTTATAGAGATTTAAAAAGTCAGCTTGGGTTTTGTTCAAGTTTACTTGTTGCTATATCTTCAGATTTTTTCATGGCTTAAAAACAACTTGACTCGCACATTTTCTCTTTAATTTTCCCTCTCCTACGAAAATTACCAGAGACTGTAACTCAAGAGAAGACCGAGAACAATCTGTGAAACCGCGACAGCTATCACATTAGCGATCTCTGTGAAATCCCAGCCAGCATTAGCAACTCGGCTCATGAAAAAGGGCCATAAATTTCCGTTACTAATGCCGCCGCTTATCACTCAACCGACAAAGTCAGAGCAGCTTTTTGTTTTTTGCGCTTTCAGAGGGCACGAAAACACAGAGGGCTCTCATATAAACAAAGGAAACCATGTGTTTGTGTTTTTTGTTCAATTAAAATAATTAAATACCAAATAAATGTGCGCAGACAGACAAAAAAACAGGCAAAAATAGATTTTTAAATATGTGCCCAAAGCATGTGCACAATTTACTTTTTTTTGTTTGTTTTCCAAGTACCCGTATCTTTTGTTTATATTGCCTAATTGAAAGTATTTTTCTGGTTCACAGATTTCTTCTTATTTTTTACGCCTGCTTGTTTTTATATTATATGTACCTACATTTTCCGATTTCCAACTAAAAACAAAAGGGAGAAGAGAGCAAGTTTTCAATATGGAAAATGTGTAAATTTGTTAATGGGCTTTTGCGGGATTCGCCATGAATAAAACATTAAGTGAATAAAATGTTAAAACGTAATAAAAGAAATTCAGCATTTTGGAATGCAAATTCTGGGAGTGACGTGGTCGGGGCGGGTTGGGGGCTTCAGCACGGCATTGTTAATGGTTGCTTGCCACTTCAAATGCAGCCACAGCGACCGCCTTAAATAAATTTTCCCCAAAAATTTATCGCACACACACGCTCTCTCACCCCGACAAAAAATTGAGCAAATATTTGCAAAGGAGATTTTTTGTTGAGGGTCGTTCTGAAAAGTGATTTTCTCGCCTGCATAATTTTAAATTTGATTATTTGTTGTTGACTTTTTAAACTTATTCCCTGTTTATTGGTTGGGGAAAATGCGGTTTGGTTTTTGTTTTTGGGAATGCTACTTTGATTGCCATTGAGAACTTTTTTATGCAGGCACAAAACAATCCCCTTGGATGTGTCTGCCAATATTCTTTCTGTGGTCTGGCTTTGTTTTTCTGTTACCCTAACTGTGGGTAAGATGAGTTTAATTATTTATTTGAGGGTTTTTATTTATTTATTTAATTATAAAATATTTTTAACTACTAAAGAATTCTTTGGGAGGTGTCATAGGTTTATATTTCCTTCATGTTTGAACCATAAAATATGTAAAGAAATGGTAAAAGATATTTTTCTATCCTTTATTTAGAGCTGTACTTAAAATCTAAATTAAAATCTAAATTATTAAATAATATATATTACATTTAAAGGCAAAGAGTCCTCAGAATCCACCTTTTACCGAAAAAACACTTTTTCTTTCATCTACTTTTCGTGTTTCTTTTGTATTCTTATCACAGCATCGGGAAAGCGTATTACATAACATAGTGTGGGTGTAAGAAGGGGCGGACAAGGACTAAGGACCAAGTTGGAGCAGATTGTGCTGGGCTGCCGACCTAAAGCTTTATTTATTTCTGTTTACATTGCATTAAACATCTTGCAATCAAAAAAGCAAAAAGCAACACAATCGCCGGAATCAAATTCAGCTTAATTAATTCAAAGTGCAAGCACGAACAGTCGAGGGAGGACCTCCTTATACATATTATATATGGGGGATAAGTAATAGAGATAAGTAATAGGCAAATCGTGAGATTTGCACAAATTACCTTGGGTCCTCGATGGGATTAGACAGATTGCGTATACGCCACGACCCTAATTCGAGTTTCAAGTGGTTCGTGCGCCGACTAAGTCACTGCTTACGATAATTGCTTTGCTTAATTAGTTGGTCATTGTGTGTGTTTGCCAGTGTGTGTGTTTGTGTGTGTGTGTGTAGGAGGATAATTATAAATTAATGCAATTGACAGCCAGGACAATGAATCTAATGACAAAAACGGGTTGAGTCCTATGGGCGTCTGTTGTAAAATTGAAACGAATTTTCTGCACAGTTTTGGCAGTTTGTAATTGAAGGCGTTCGACACGCAATGAAGGTTCCGCGAAAAACGCACATAAATCAAAAATATTTAGCTTTTCCCTTGGCTCTGTTTCTGTCTCTTTTACTCTCTCCCTTTCTCTCTTTCTTTGTGTCAATCGCGGAAAACTCAGGGGGCATCTTTTAGGCGCAAATTGTGTGCGTGTTTCGATTCCCTGTAAAGGTTGGAGGGGAAGGGTATATTAAGGGTGTATATTCCTTTGATTAGGATGAGAATTTTAGTTGACTTTGCTATATTTTATTTGTTGCAAGAGTTTGTCTTAGCCGGACAGTGACAGTAAGAAAGTTTGCCTAACTCGTCCGTTTCAAGTCCGTAAGTCCAAATAGCTTTTACTCATTTTATAACTATAACTGAAAAATCTGTATATTTTACATTATATTATATTTATATTATTCCTTAACAGGAAAGAAAGCTAACTTTGGCCAGCCTAAGTTTGTATACCCTTGCAGGTGGTAACAATTAAAATATATCATAACTAAGCCAAAAATGCATTAATTTCGATTCGGAAAGCAGTTTTGTGTTAGTTTTTATTAATTTAAAAAAAATGCATACCAAATTTAAAATTTTAAGAAATCAAAATTTTTGGCCATTTCTGCTAATTTTAATGATGTAACCCCTTATAAAATTTTTCAAAAATGGCCAAAAAATCGATTTCTTCCTGACATATCTAGAAAGATTCCCCTGTTGATGCTGATCAAGAATATATATACTTTATAGGGTCGGAAACGTCTCCTGAAATTATAATACCCTGCAAGGGTATAAAAATAAGAGTACTAGGAGTCTTGTATATATCTTATCCTTAGACTTTGCTTGTCCGTCAATGTATCCCCTTGTTCGTTAATCAAATAATATAGCTATATCTCAGTAACTTCAAGATCTCTATAACTAAAACCTTAAAATCAGTTTCATTATATATTAATAAGGTATCTAACAGTTGAATCCCTAAACTTTGGCTTAGTAGTATCCTTTTTTTCAGCTTGTGTTGACATCTGCAATTGGCTGCGGGCTGACATTTAACGCTGCACGCAATCGATGGAACTCACTCATTGTTTCTACCGTTTTTCACCATTTACACCAAACCCCCCACTCCCCCTGGGCCCCTGGTGGAAAAGCCCCGCTTTACTGCGGAAAATTTTGTCGTATTTTTCGGTAGTTGTTTGTATTTGTTTTTGTCCCAGAGCGATGATTGAGTGAGTGCTTTAGTCGATCGTAAATGTAGCAAGTGGCGAATGCAAATATGTTGCAATTTATAACTGGATTTCGCCGTCTGCGGCAAGTCAACGCTGTTGCCAGTTAAATGTTGAAATTGCTATTTGTGTGGAAATATGCATATGTATATTTTTTGTCATTTATTTAACATTCCACAGTTCGGTTGGCAAATACGGGCTAAAAGAGCGGGTAAATGAGTACTGATTATGTGCGCTAAATTGAAATTAATTGACAGGTGGTCAATGTTAACATTGGGTAATTATTTAAAATGGAAAAGCGTTCA